AGGCACTTAGAATGCCTCCTCAACCCAACTCACTGATGCCCACACAGTGCCTGCTGGGGAGGAACCTCCTTTGGCGCATTTGGCACAGCTTCTGGAACAGCCTTGCGGTCGCAAGGAGAACGCTATGCGTATAGGGAGGGAAGGCAAGTTGTTTAGTTGAGATCGGAGCAGTGGAAGCTAATGATAGCTACGCCAATAACTATTAAAAGGCACTTAGAATGTCATTTCAACCAACTCACACACGATGTACCCCCAAAGCACCTCCGGGTCCTGGTCAGCCTGCGCATCTTCCATGACAACCTTTAGGAAGTTGCAGAGAGAGGGAAAGACTGTACAACCATGTGGATCCACAACTAGCCACAAAACCAGGCCTGATCCATACTGGCATTCGGGGTCTCTTTGCGCATGCGATCCATGCGGGGAACATTTGCCTCAAACATAGTCACTTGAGATACTTCATGTATACACACAGGTACACACAGCTTCCATTAGCAGGGTGGGGTTGCTGCCAGGACACATAGGATTGGAACCACTTGGCTGTCACTAGTGGTGTAGCGCACTCTACCAACACATCGAAGTGACCAAAAGCCCTCTTCTCACGCACAGCTGGAGTGTACCTAAAATATAGATGCGCCAAAGGTTTACCGGCCCCATAAACCGCATCCATCTTGATGTTCTCGCTACCCTGTGTGTCCACAATGGCTTTGTAAGTATCGCTGCCCATAGAGAGCCTGATAGTGCCCCCCATGCATTCTGCAATCCACCTCAGGTCCTCCACCTCAAAGGAGCTTTCCTTCCACACTTGCAAGATTCTCTGCTGGATGCTGGGAAACTGCTGTAAGGCAATCTCACCTAAGGAAAACATGGAAAACATGGCGCGTCAAAAGACTGTGTAAAGGTGTTTCCCAAGGGTAACACAATAAACTCCGGTTTATGAGCGTTTATTTATGCGCATGTGCCCTTCCAGAAATTCTACACACAGATATAACTATATATATCGGTATGCTGTATGTTTTGACACCTCTGAGGGCAGTACATGTCCTCTTGCACAACTCTTGACTAGTGGAGATCTCTTCCTCATTCTGGTGATGGTTGACAGGATAATGGGCCTGGTTCCTGCAAGGGAGGTTATGCTTAGAATGCCTGGTTGTGTGCAACTTGTTCAACACAGTTGCAAGAAAACAAGCGCCATGTACAGTCCTTGGAATGGATTCAAACAAGCCAATGTCTTGGCAAGCCAGGATGGCGCGCCAACCACAGCGGCCATCTCCAGCTACCCCCACTGTGCGATACTGAATCCTTGACCGCTCCACAGCTCTGGGTTCCATTCTCTTTTGTCCCTCCATGACAGAGGTGACAACTGCTTTGCACACCTTGCTGTTGAGCCGCTGGCTGTTGGATACAAACAGGTCTTCCAGGCGACAGAGGTTGCCCAGAAGGTCCTTTGGAGCCCGGGCATAGGATGGGGCTCTTTTCCTGAGATCGCTGGTGCCCGAAGAAGCCTCCAGGATGTTCACGTCCCCGTGTGAACGGGTATTGACCTGATCTAGTGAATGCAAGTAGAAAGGAAAGTAAGGCAAGCTGACTATACAGAGGTGGTGGGGCTATATATACAGGAAGGGTGTAAGGAAGATACCGGATACTTTATTTCATGTTAAAACTGCCAAGCTGCAAATATGCCAATGACAGGTGAAGTAATTGGCAGTATTTGCTTTAGCCGGTTCTCAGTCTCAGAGCGCTCGGCCTCGGGACCTTGGATGAACCCGACTGGCTTCACGCCATCAACTTTACACAGCTTCTTGATTTTCTGGTGGTTCATCAACGCGTCCACGGTGAGGTCGCTGGTAGTTACGATCTTGGTGCACATCCCACGTCCCTTTTCGGATTTGCCAACCAGCAAACCCAGAAGACCCGGTGAGCGGTCTTGCCAGGCTGCAAAGGATGCGAGTGCGCCTTTTTGAACTTGAATGTTGCATGGTGGAAGGATCGGCCCGCACTTTCGAGCCTGTTTCAGCAGTTCTGATGTGATGTCCGTGGCATCTTGTCCGGTAGGCTCCGTGATTGCAAAAGCACCAAAGCCTTCTTGTTGGCCAGCTGCAATTGCTTGAGCAGCAGCCTTGCTTGGCAAAGGTTAACACTTAGAATGCCTATGCCAGGAGCTCCAAAATACAAAACATAATATATATCCATCTAATCATCCGTTCATCCATCCATCCATCCATCCATCCCGGATAAGATCCACATGGAGTGAAACTTGATGCACAAACAAGCAGCTGTTGCTTTCTGGGATGGGTCCTTGCATGTTCCACTATGCATCTCCACTAGCCACTTGTGACAGTGACTGCATGAGACCATCTTCCGCGTAGTAGATGCATCTCCCTTAGTGAAGGTTGCCTCAAAGCCACCACCAGGGGTTGCCTTCACGTTCCCATTGTAACATGGGATGACGGACTTGAGAATTTCATTCTCCACCCAACCTGAGTGGGGATTCCCTTGTCAAACCGCAACACACAAATTGCTTAGAATGCCTTCCACAATTGCAACTCCCTTTCTACATATAGAACGTCAATCCCTTAAAGCTTGTTACAATGCCAATCACCTAAGCATGTAAAAACCATATTTTTTTGCACATGAAAACATATCAACATGTCTTTAGGCCTGTAAATACATACATATATATATATAGGTGATGCAACCATAATGCTGCTTTGTAGCTGACCTTCCCATCAACACACTGATGCTGTGCCTGCTCCAACTGGGCTGCAACAGTCCGGCTCTTGGTCACCTGGATCCCGATGTCATCCAACCAAGCTTTCCGCTCCTTGGGATGCATGTTAAATCAAAGGTGGTTGAGTATAGAGTCTGAAGTCTGAAGTAATTACAGTACTGTAATTGAGAATTTGCAAGCAAGTGGTCAAAATCTGTCCTGCCCCCTCTTTGCTTGAAACTGTGCTGTCATCTTGGATGCGACTTCGTGGAATTTCACGGCGGCAACTCGTGCAGTATCTGAATCCCCATAGTCTGCAAAGTTAAACCTGCGGATCTCTCCAGCTAGTCGCACACTGAACCTTAGTGTTTCAGCCAGTCTATTGCAAGCAAAACCAAAAAAAGGACTACATTGTGACAACATGAATTCTACAGACAAACCATGAGAAAGCAAATATGACTGCAACAGATCCTTAGAATGCCTTCAGGCAAGTAGCATTTTGCTACACTTGTTGATGCCCTTTGGAAGATCACTTTTTGATGCCTCATCCGCTGCAGCTGGAATGCCGCTAGAAGATGCTGGAGCACCCTGCCTTATCTTAAGGCCGGAAAGGAATGAGAATTGCAAAGAGCATACTATGCAAAGTGAAGTACCCTTTGTGTTGACTGTCACTTTGGGGGGGGTTATGTGAAAGAACGTTTAACACGGAACACCTCAGAGTTACACAATTCTCCTGGATCACAGTCACAAAAGAAAACAAAACTGTTTGTACACAAATATCCAGGCACGGTGAGCGATCGTCCTGGGCATCGCCTAGTGGTGGAGGTGGCACAGGAGGAAGTCCTGGTGGCTCTTCCCCATCGGAACTTGGCACAGGCTCCAACGTTGCCTGCAAAACAGCCTCCATAGCTGCGTGATCGCCAAAAAGGAAACCTGCTTGGAAAACTGCTGCTTCTAATGATGCTTTCTGTCAGATGCTGTCAAATGCGCACATATGCATATATGTGTACATACTGCTTTCCAACATCTATGTATATATATATATATCATCTATTTTGAGCCACGTGGATCTTCTGGTCGGGCATGTCTTCAAGCGTGCCCCAAAAATGAATACCTTCAGGCAAATCGGCGCAGAAATGCCACTTTTAGCATGCCTTTTCACAAAAGGCATTCTATGCATGTAAAAAAAAGGCATTCTATGGAAAAAAACATTTTCCATCGTAAATCACCAACCGGCATTCTATCTTTCAGTCCGTCGGTATAATTTGATGCTAGTTTGTGTCAGGCAGCATCCAACTCTAGCAAAACAACACAAAATCTCTTTACGGGATCATCATTGCTCGTTTCATCCGACTCTCGTATACAAAAAAACAGGGCATAGCAGGCTTGGATGACGCCGCCAAACAAAGCTAGTCCGAGTGTGGGATAGGGCTGGATAGGGAAAAAAGCCATGTCGGGACAATAATTCGGTCGAAAGCATGTGACGTGTTGCTTTGGAGGGGAGCACCGGGCACCCACCTGTGTGAGCGTCGTGACCCGTGGTTGTACATCACATCCAATTCACCACTCAAACAGTGACCGCTCGAACAGTCTAGTCTAGACTGTTTTTCTTGACGGTTCCCTCGGGAGGGCTGTTTCATGCAGGTAGGTCAGCCGACTTGAGTTCACTATAAAGAGGAAAGCACTAACATGCTAACACTAACGTTCACTGCATAATCTGCATATGGATTCGGCTTCAATCGATTCACCTTCTCCTAGTGAGTGTGGGTGGATGCACATCAAACGCACAAATTGGCTGTCTGCAACGGGAACGGGAACGTCCAAAATAAGCTCCACACGCTCAATCCCTTCATCTCACTCAAACCGAAGTACCTTCACAATGAGACTGCCGCTGGAGCTACTGTCAGCACGAAGGATGAGTGGTGTCAGATAGCTCTCACCAATTCAGGATCGAATTGCCAGCAAAACATGAAACACTGAGTCACTGAGTTAACCGCAACTTGACTGCTGAATTGTCTTGGAGGATGAGGTCCCGGCTCAAGCAGATTCATCACATTTGTACAGCACATGTTTAATGGCACTCCAGCAGAGGTTTCAACTCCAATGGTTATTCTTTCTGTTCGCAACATTCCATTGGTACAATCCTCTGCTGTTTGCAACCTTGTCAATACGTTTCCTCCTGGACCTATGCTTCAAACCACCTCATGGGCACATGGTCGCAAGCATGGCCTTGGTGTAGGATGTCCATTGTTCTGAGAGGCTGTGGGAGTCTTGTCTTATGGCAGGAAGTCCCCAGTACAAAGCAGTTCATGGGGTCAAATCACAGTTGTACAGCCGGGGCGGTTCGATAAGTGACCTCCAGACAGAACATGTTATCAAACTTGTCCTCCATCTGCCACAGGCAAACATGAATCAAGGCAAGGATCCAAAGATCCAAGGGCCATGGGCAAGATCAAGCCGTGCTTCTGGCCATAGCTACCTTGGAGGGGCTCTGTAATCACATCTCCACCCTCGTGTGTCTCTGAAGTAGATCCTCTCTGGTTTTGGAAACCTCCTGTTGAGAATCCATTGGATTGGTCATCGAACAAATAGGTGTTGGGAATCACTAAGCTTCATGGGTCTCATCAACCCAAGACCTACGTAAATACAAAGCCAATCATTTCGATGGAGCGCGATAAAGTCGTTCCAATGCCAACAAGAGCACCGAGATTCACATAACATCAAGACCTACACCTTCAAGCTTACAGTTCTTAGCAAGTAGGCGGAAACAAACTCGCAGCTAGAGTACGGGCAAGAGCCAGGCCAGTACGGGTAAGCTCGGCTAGGCCGATGAGAAGATTCAGAAGATGTTTGACCAAACGGATATTCCATGATATTCCGGGTCTTGTAATGTTTTGTATGCAAACGATCCAGATATCTAAAGATTCTGATCCGCAAGAAAAAAAGGGAACAGGTTCGTTTTACACAAGCTGTCCACTCGTGTCCACTCTTCTGCTCATTCTTGCCGGATTTCCACTCTTCATTGCTACCCGTTCGCTTAGGCCCTGCTTCCTTCGTTCCGTTTCTGGGACCCCCGGGCCGAAGCACCAGGAGCCCAGTGCCGCCGAGGCCACGGTCACCGCCGCCAGGGCACCAATGGAGGCTGCGGAGGCGGGGCAGATCCACCAGGGTGTGGAGTGTGGATGTACGTGGAAATGTTTGAATGTGGCTTCTTGTGCCAGATTGAGCAACCCTTAGCTATTGAAGGTGGAATCCACTCAAAATGTGGATCGATTGGATTGATGAGTGCCATCCTGGAATCCTGGCTGTCGATGAACAGTTGGTCAAAGCATCTGAAGAAAGAAGGGAGCTGCTTCGTCAAGGGGAACAGACTCTACAGCTCATTGTAGCTCCAGGGTGCTGGTTTCGAGTCCGAGACTCACTGACCACAGGACCAATGGATATGCCACGTACGAGTCCACATTCTGCACAACTACTACTCTATGTGTGCGGCGGCATCTATTTGGTACTAAACTCAAATACCCTGACTACCTATTATAATCTATTATATATGTGGGGGCCCTATCTCGTTTAGACTTAGACTACTTAAGTAGGAGGTCATGTCACAGTATCTCGTTCAGACTACTTTAGTAGCAGATCACACTATCTCGTTCAGACTACTTTAGTGTCATCAAGCAAAAGTATCTCGTTTATGTACGGGTGCCTATCTCGTTCCCAGGCGAATACTGATAGACAGGCAAATAGAGTAATTATGCCGTAGACTACTTTAGTAAAGCCTAAATAAAAGTGGTTGCTCATGTGATGTCTACAAGTGGCCCCACCAGAATTCTGTATCCTTCGCTGTGTACATCCATGACCCCCCTGACGAGTTCTTCCAGAGGGTGCACCTGTCCCTGCAATTCCCGCAGAGACTTCCGCATTGAAGTAGCCATTCATGAAAGCTGCTCCTGGAGAAACACAAAGTCTTGCACTGGAAGGCCCAGGATGTTCCAGTGATCGGAGGTTTTACCAGCTTTGGCCTGACAATCGACCTGGAAGACTTGCGGCCTCATTCATCAGCTTATGTAGCAATGTACATCAATCTGCCCAGTTGGGCCAACCCTGCTATTTCTCATCGATTTGTGCTCTTGCGCTCCGAAGCCAAACGCCAAATTCGTAGGGCTCAGCAGCCAAATCCTCAGCATGTCGGAACTCGGAACCTTGCGTGTGTCGCAATAGATGGCGGTTCACAGTTGCGTGCACTGATTTGGTCAGATTTGGTCTTGAAACATCAAATGTCCCACTCATAGGGGTTAAACATTGATCCAACAGTGCAAGGTTCTATCTCGGATAGTAAGGGGTTGGTCATTCCAATAGCCTGCCCGGACACTCCGACTCTGAGTGCTGGGCACGACATCAGACCACAGGGAAATGGCCTGTGCATTTGTTTTGTCACAACGCTTGCGCCGCTTGGTAGAGACGATAAAAAGCCCGAGCCTCCTCTCACTCAATATCTTTGCTTGGACGACCAAGCACAAATGGACATCTAGGGGGTCCTATTTCCAATCGAAATGGAGTTTAAAGCCTATGAACAAAGTGGATCAAAGTAGATGTCTGAGGGCTGAGCACCTCTGTACCATTGATTGTTGCGTCATTTCCAGTTTTGCCCAGCTCAAGAAACTCAATGATGCCAGCAGCACTGCCCGGAATTTGTCAAGGGCCTTGGCACGGAGTCTGGTATGGCACGGAGTGCAACCACGACTGACGACAATACTCACTTGCCAGACTCCTGAGACTCCTGAGATCGGGCTGCAAACTGCGAACACGTTCGCAAACAGCTTTTGCCCATAATACGACTGGGGTGTGTTATTCAACTCAACGTACGCACGCCAAGAGAACAAGCGTTTCAGGTGTCAAACTGTCATGAAATATCATGGCATATCCTTCAATTCTCACATCATCAAGCTTTCTTGCTAGCTTGCAGGCACTGACCTCGGGGGTTGGGAAAGCATTGCTCACCAGGGTCCTGCACTCAAAGCACCGAGGCTTCTTCAACAAAGAGGGCAAATGTCCAATCCTGTCCTTGTCGTCACATCTGACCCCACCGCCCCAAAACCAAGCTTCGCGCTGGGCCCTGCGACGTGGGCTCCTGCAAGGGATGAACATTAAATTGGGAAAGAGTCCAAGCAGCAAAGTAGCGTTAATACTAAACATGTAATGCCTAAAGTAATGGTTTGTAATACATGTTAATTGTGAATGCGTAAATTGAGCCGTTGCGCAGGTGAATTCCCCAATCTTCGAGCTAAGTGCGCGCACTGCATTCTATCTCATCGAGGCCTTACCGAGAATCCCCGGACTCCAACTCACGTCCGGCACCTCCCGGGGCAGTGGGTCGCTACGGGCGAAGACGACCTCGGACAACGTCCGGCCATCGAGTGCAATGACAAAAGCGATGATTTGAACCTCCAACCTAAGAGCCATCCCCTCCAACCTACTAGTGATGGCCATTTTGTTTGGTGAATCGAGCGAAAACCTCTTCAAATGCAAACGAGGAAAGCAGTGCCAAAGTCGAACTCAAGAGCCTTTCATGCGGGCCCACTTGAGCCAGGATGTGGAACAATGCTCCACATGGAACATTGAAACAATCAGGGCGAGGACTCATGAAACTCCACTGCCTGAAATTCCCTGGAAGAGATTTAAACTTTGGCTAGCCCCAGTCCGAGTCATGTCCAGTCGGGGTTGATTGAGCCAGTGCCAGTGTGTTGGACAATTCCCCAAGGCTGCTGGCTGTCGCAAGAGCGGCAATGACTATCAGCACCTGAGAACTCGAAACTATCAAGGGACAAGGGCATGCTTTGTAGATTGTACAGTTTTGGGTCCGATGTCTTACTTTGTAAACAAAAAAACTTGCCGCAGTGATATTTGAGGACGTGCAATCATATCAAAGTCACCCTGAAATGCCCAAAACAACTTTGAGTGCATAGTCTTATGAGTCCGCTGGAGGACGAAAGAGCCAACATGACAGTACCAACAATTTTACATGGACATGTTTTGGGCAGTTGGCAATCATGAAATCACCTGAACGGTTGCCCAACATGTGTTTACCACTTTACCACGGCCAACTTGTCCCCCTTTTCCTTCGCAAACTAGAGCATGAACCATCTACTAATCATCTATTCTTCAATTGTTCCATCCCAAAAGAATGGCCCCCGCTCGCAGATTCCCATATAGTCATGCTGGTACCTGATTAAAGTATGTTATAATTATAATATACATGTATATGTTTTTCAATATATTACATATTTATGCTATAGTATCCTATATTACGTTATGTTGTTGTTGCTGTTTTATATGTTATGTTATATGTGGTGTAACTAAAATGTTATGTTATATATTACAACAATGTTATGTTATATCATATGTTATATGTTACGATACATGTTGTGTTATATACTATGCATCGCTTTGTTATATTGTATTATATTATACTGGTCTACGCTATATTGTACTATTCTATACTATATCATATATATATATACAATTATATACACATCTTTTGTTGCACATGCGTTTTCCCAACTGGACCCAGCAACGGTGGAAGCTCTCGTCGCTAGGTCCGGCAATCTGGGCCCGGTGCAAGGATGGAGGCATCATCCTCAACATCTGCCACTCGCTGAAGTCGGCGTCTGCTAGCTTTCTTCCCACTCGGGTGTGACCCTAAGCCTTCTGTTCGGTCCCGAGACATGCTCCAAAGGTCTCAGCTTCCAGTCCTGCTTGAAATACTGGATCAGGGAAGTGAGCAACTTCAAGGCAAACTCCCAGCCCAAGTAGCGCAGCGCGAAGACTCCTCACAAGGACCAAGAGTGAAGCGTTCGACACTTGCGGTCACCCAGAGCTGCCAATTCGACGTATCTTCAATGCTTCAAATGCACCTTTTCGATTGTGCAAAGCTGAACCAACTTCACACATGATGCAAACAAAGCGCCCAACTCCCCAAGGGTTAGATCCAGACCTCTACCCAAATAAACCAAGAATAAATAAACCAAGAATAGAGGGCCGTTAATGTAGGAGACAGCTTGCTCAGAAGTCTGACCAGGATTTATCTTTGTTTCACCTTATAGTGCAAGAAGGCTTGTACAATGCATACAGTAGTTTCATGGACTGGATCGGCCATACCGTACCCTTTCTTCGTTTGGTGTAGATGCTTACCACCCACCGGTTGATTGGGTTTCACGGGAAGGAAGTCCAGGAGCAGGTAGAGCAGGTAGAAGGTATACTGGCATGTGATCTGATTTCGCTGTATAGTTCCCACTGAGGGGGTGTTCTCCTGTGATCGTTCTAGCCTTTGACCTCAAGGGATGCGTAACAGTTACGCATAGTTGTGTCTTCCTTGTTGCTCTTGAAGAAGCCACCCTCAGAGTTGTGGGAACTGAGAGGCACTGAGGAGGGAACCGGACTGTTCCTAGAAGTGTAGCTGCTGGCCTGGAAGAGTGCAAATTTGTAGGGTTTCTAGTTCGGTTGTCAAACGCTGGAAGAGGCTTCCGCAACGCAAAGCACTGAAACTTGGACTTGTGGGAACCCCTCCGCCAGCAGAAAAGCGTCAGAGAGGTTGATTTGTTTCGGACTCCGAGCCAAGAGTCCTTGGAACAGTGGCAGTGGCGGCAGCTTTTTCCTGACAGCCCTGTTTGGATTTTCCATGGCAATGCTGAAGCTGATAAAGATTGTCAAAATCCGCCTGCACCAAAAGTGCTGAGGCGCTTCCGCTAGAAGTTGCTAGATAGCACATAGCTTCAGCAGGGGCATGTTTGCTCTAGAATGCTGTGCTTTTGACGTTTTTTGAAAACGGACGAAAAATCAGCAAGGCATCGGTGATGTCGGCTATTCTGCCCGAGTGAGACTGCATTATTGACATCCTGTGTGCTTGCCCCTGCGCAAACCAACCGAGACAGACCGACTGAGGCAAACAAACCGAGACAAACAGACCGAGACAACAGTTTCTGTGCGGGCGGCTTCGGCCGCAAAGCGGTGTGAATCAATGCCGGCAAGCACGATTTGGAAGGTAGAACTGCAAAGAAGCTGACCATCGCCAACTTGGTTGATGGCAGAACTTTCAATGTTTAATCGCGCCTTCTTGATGTTAGCATTGTTTGATGGTTTTTGGCAAGGCTCCAAGAATCAGTAAGCCTGAACTGAACCTCTTGTTTCATTTCCACAGCCGCCTACAAGAAGAGAGCTGCTGGAAGCCCTTTCGACGACTCAAGGTCAGCATTTGTGGGCAAGCGTGGAGTCCAAGATTAAGGTTGAAAGAGCAGCTAACAGTGTTTCAACCAGGGCAGGATTGTCCATCTCTTCAGTGTGGAATCAGGGTTACGAGTAGCATTGCCCAGTTGCATTTCAAATCTCTTGGCATCATCCTTGCAAGCGGCAAGGCAGAACTCGAAGGTGCTGAATATGGTAAGTAGCTGAAGCACTGGTGGTCTTGAGGGAGAAAACAAAGGGAAGCTGAAAAAGCACACACAAGCTAGGAGCAAGAAGCTACTAGGGGCTCCTGGCATCGCTACTAGGAACAAGGACGCTACTAGGTGCTGAAAAAGCACACACAAAAAACACATTCCCACCCAACACATCCACCGTCGCCTGAAAGCCACGCGTTGGCTTCTCGAGTCTTCGCCTACCGGTGCCATGCTTTCGGACCTGGGAACAATGGGTGAAACTGTAGATGGGCTTTTTCCTCTTTCTTGCTCCCATTTCCAACATGGTCCCTCGGTCCCTCCTCATTCTTCTAAGTCAAACACCTGCATGGTGTCATGACAAACCAAATTCTGAGAGGAATCGATTCAGTTCCTTGGTTGAGAATCCTATCCTACAGACCGTTGGAGAGTCCGTTTAAAGCGGAGATGGGGCTCGCCATCCTTCCAAACGCAGAGATACTCCCTGGAACTGACATGGAAGTGGAAAATGGCCCCTTACAATTTTCCACTTCCATATTCGTTCCACCGAAAAAAGACATATGCTGATTCCATCCCATTCCGAGCAGACGAAGTCGTGTCTGCCAGGGGAGAAACAAAAACCGCCGAGACTCCTGCGGGCGGCCCAGAGCCCATCTGCGGTCCTCCGGGTCTTCCGTTCCGGAGGCCAACAGCGCCGAGGCATGCCTCAGGTTGGACCCAATGATCAAAGCTGAAGGAACTCAATCTGAGTTGGAACATTCAAAGACCTGGGAATGAAAGTCAAGTAAATGAACATGGACATGCTGTATATATAATAGTAAGAAGTAAATGAAAGTAGAATATGAAACACAGTATCAACATGTATCAACAATGTCTTGTCTAAGAGTCTCGTCCGTCACGTCTAAGAGTCTAACAACTGCAAGGTGGGATTCTCTCCTTCTACCCTCTGGATCTTGGATCGCAAAAACCACTGGTGGGAACACATCCTTCCCGACGGGGCGCGCTTTTAGGTGATCGGGCTGGAATGGTTAAGACGGTCATGAATAACGTCATATTCTGCGATGATTTGACCCTTTTACTGGCGACACGCAAGCACAAGCTCGTTTCCAAACATGTTGCGCAACATAAAACTGCGCAAAGGATGCTCCGAGGCATGCTGACCCAGCATGGTCATTCTTCATCTGGGTTCGGTTCGGAACGAACCCCAAACACTTGTTACTAGAAGCGATGCACTTGTTACTAATAGCTTCTTAGTTACTAGCGAACCTTGTTACTACTAGTGGCCACAGTTTGGGATAGCTGGGCCTCCACACGCAAAGTACGATCCCTGACTCGTCCACATCACACCAGCAGCTAAACCTGAAATGTTTCAGGACTCCCGATCCGAGGTCCCCTTTGTGTTCCGGAGCCCTAAGCGAGGCTAAGAAATGCTAGAAACATGAGCTGGGCCTGATTCTAGAAACTCAAGAAACAAATCCTCCATGCAAAAGCGCAGCACACTGCATGTCTCAAGCCTGCCACCACTGAAGCGCTGCATAGCAACACCGGGCCCGCGCTCAAGCAGCTCTGGCACCGAAGCGGAAAGAGGTGCCAATTGCTTTGCTGAAAGGAAACTCCATTCTTGGTCTTCGGCCCTGCTAGAAACTGGACACTTGGGGATACAATCGGAAGATGTGGGACATCTTTCAGTTTACATCTTCCTCTTTGGAACGAAGCAGTTTGTCATCAGCGTCGATTGCTTCTTCTGGTACGTGGTCATTCGAGAAGGATCGACAAGCTTTGGGTCTAGCGAAACATGGATCGACTGTGCGAAACTGAAGGTAGCGATCGATGTGGCTTCCAGTTCCTCTCTGAATAAAGACAGACCAGTCAATTAGTATCTGGACATTCGAAGCAACGGTCTAAGTGTAGAGTGTAGTGTAGAGTTCTGATGCGATAAGCAAGTTCAGAAAGGTTTGTTGTTCCAGTACAAGTATATAGCTCTCAAAACATCCATCAATGGCTTGTCCGCGGCCGCACTTTGGCTCAATTGCAAACAGAACTCGCATCCAATAATTACACATCCCAAACTGATGTATCGGCTTGCAGTGATGCGATCAGTATGTTGTTCGATCTGCCTGCCTCCTTTTCGACATCTCCCGTCTGCAGGGCCCGCGCAGTGCAAAACCTCACAAGACATCTGTGCTGAGAAAGTTGGGAAATGCAGGCAAAGAGATATGATCTGCAATGAACAACGGTTTACTTGCATCTGGAAAGGCAAATGAAAAAGTGCATGAAAGCAGCATGGACGGAAAATCAAAACATCTCGTCTGAATGTTCTCAAAAAAACAACGCTTCACTGGCTGGCAAGCCTTAATTCCAACGCTCTCATCTTCAAGAAAACAATTCATTGGCTTTGCAGGTTTATACGAGGAGAGTTTCCTCATCACCAAACATCATTGGTGCAACATCGTGTCAGGGTCGAGTATGTACCCGTCAAGTCTACCAAGTCGATCCTTTTGCTTAATGTGCAGCTGAATGACAGGATCGCATACAGAACGTAGCTGCTAAAGGAGTAGAGCAAGCATCCTTGGCGGCCTGTGAGAGCTGGAGAAGCTTATGGAAAAACAAACTGGTGCGTTGAATAGACTGAGGAATGAATCCCAGCAAATGTTAAGCACAGCAATCAAAACCTATCCACCGAAATCCCGTTTCCTCCGTAGAATTTCAGAATGAGTGATTCTTTTGGAAGCTAAGGGTCATCAAGCAAAGAGCTAGAAGCATGTAGAAGCCATTATTCTTTTGCACTCTCAGGACAAAAGAAAGGACGGAAAGGTTCTGCAACCGCTCAAAAATACTCAATCTGGCCCTGTAGACTATTTCATTAACCGTCGGATTAGATCAAGGTATATCAGTAGCTTGACGCTGTGATGCAGCTAGGGCAAATAAAAAGGCACTTCATCTTGGTCAAGTGAAATGGCCATGATTGGGTGCTCGCGAAAAGCTCTCAAGGATGACACATTCATAGAGACCCAGGAATGACCTACTTCCAGTCATGGGTCTTGATGTCACACAAGTATATAACTGAATGGAGCTAAACTAGCGTAAACCTGAAACACAGGCCTGCAAGGCAAGTTGGGGGTTGTTTAAGGCCGGCCAGTACGTGGCTTTGCTGTCGCAGCGCCTAGGACTGAAAGCAGCGGCACCGCCAGGAACATGGAACCCGGCCAGGTCGAGACCTCTCAGGCGGCAGGCGTGAATTTCGACTGCCTTTTTTTTTTTCGATGAATGCTTTCAGAGGATCAAAGCGTGTTAGCCGATCTTGGCCGATGAAATGAGCTTGGACTTGGAAACCCTGATAAGAAGCTCCAAGAATGCGCTTGCACAAACGTGCTCTCTGGTGTCAAATAAAGGTTATCCAAGTGTTCGGGGTTGTCCTCTGGGTGCTGGAGGCATCACTGGTTGGAAGCTGTTGGTTTTTGCTCTCCTCAGAACCTCGGTACCAACTACAATGGGTTTTCAAAACTACTCCAGCATCTCCAGCCGCGTAAGGACTCCAACCCCAACCTGCTGTGGCCCGACCGAGCTTTCGACATAGAAAAAGCCATTGGCAGTAGAGCCGCACTGCTCGGAAAACAAAGTGGTGGAGTAGACCAGCAAGGTACCAAGACCTCTCAGCCAAGCCAAGCTGGTGCCTCAGACCTGTCCTCAGACCTCTCATGAGTCTTCCCTTTCAGTGGCAGAACCGTTCGATTTTTGCAGAATTCATGGACAGTACCTGTTTCTATCCTCTGTTTAGAGAGGGGTGGGACCTGAATTGAGGCAGGTCTACCATTCCAAAGCCTCTCTATACAAATGTCTCTCATCATCCCTCTGGTCCTGGCTCAATTCATTTCCCACTTGAATCATCTTGAATCTGAGTATGTCAAGAACTCTCTCTGCTGACGTGCTTCAAAGCGCTTTTGCAACTAAATCTCATCTTGCACCTCCGTGGACCGCGCCAAAGCAGTTCGCCATAAGCCGCAGCTGTCCTTTGGGGTCGCTGCGCTGAGAAAATGTCAGAACACTTTCGAAAGACGTTGGTTGTCTAACCTCGGGACAGCTAAACTTTCGCTTTTAAACACAGACCATCACATGCTGTGTCCCAGATTCACCAGTCCTTCGATGGCTTCCTTGTCTAAAGGCTCCGGCCTTTCACCGGTCTCCATGGCTCAAGAGCCCTGAAAAGCCCGCGGAGCACGCGACGGGCTACGGCGGGACACGACGGATCAGAACACCCTGTGGATGACGTACGATGACATTGAGGCACCGCACCTACTAGCGGAAGCCACATTCTTCACTTGAAGTTCGGTTCGTTCTCTTGAACAAAAAAAGTCACGGGCAACTCTGTGTCGTGAACAATGGTCTCTACCTTTTCAAGCTGTCTCTGTGTCTGGCCTCAGCAACTTTCAGATTTCAGGTCTGTTCGACTCACTTGACGGCATCCAAACGACAATGACACCAATGACATCCATTGACACAAGGCAAAGGGTCTTTTGGGGGTCTGACATGTGGAATTCATCATTAGACCATATCATAGATAGATCTGATCTCATCATGAATAACCCATAAATCATTTGATGTCCATGGTCCATGGGCCTCAAATCATATATCACATCATTCCACTTTTCACCCTCAGAGAAAGCTACGGAGGAGACGTGCCCGCAAGCGCAGCGGGTCGGACCTGTTGGTGTGTGAGCTTCTTGGTGGAGCTGGTGATGGGTAGAAGAAGTGTTGCTTGATATCTCAGAACAATTCCCTTGGGTCAGAACGAGACTCACACTGTGTCATGAAGTTTCAGGTACAGTAGTTTCAATGTAATCCTTATTCCATCGAGGAGGCGGGGGTCGAGAAATGAAGGCTTGGGTTGTAAACCTGGAAGGTGGTAAGGCTTCGTTGTAGTGACCCCAGAGTTGGCCAGAACAAGCGGGTCTGCAACCGTTTGAAACTGCAAGTTCCACCGAGAACTGCATGAATTTGGTGATGTGAACACGGTTCTAGTGAGAAAAGTCCCAATTCAGGGATTTGCTTCTGGCTCGAACACACCAATCGTGATCTGATTAACCACCATGGGAGGCCGTCACAAAACAACCAGCTTGGTGGTGCAGGCTTTGTCCTATATCGAAAGGTTGGCTGGTAGGGTTTCCTGATATTTTAAGGCGACCCCTATTGCAGTGTCAACAAAGGCCTTGGTGACACATCTCCCCCGCCCAGGCGCGCATTCTCTCCCTTCGGCCTGAAGGAAGTTGGAGCAAGGGCAAGGGTCAAGAAGTTCATGGACTCCTCCGGAAAGAATCAAGAATGATCCGAGACTTCGCGGTCGAAGTCTGGAGAAGTCCATTGATTGGTGGGATCCCCCTGTGGAGATGATTGCTCCTGGCATGGCTCGGCGGGGGGGTTCGTTCTGACTTCAAGTGGATGGGATTCCCAATGGGTGGAGGACGCCCTTGCGCTCAGTTGATCAGCACTGCATCACTGCCTCCGCCGCATCTGTACCCTGACATGAAACATCGATCTCACTGTGGCTCCAATTCCATCCCGTCCGCCCAAAGAGAGTCCGTCCTCCTCCACTTCAGGAGAGACGAGGCTGGGAAGCACAGTGGCCTTTTCCGAGGGGAAGAGTGGAGGGTGTCGGATTGTTTGTTTGGATCGATGGCATGTCTTCAGTTGTTTTCTAGATCTATATGAGTGTTGATGTTGATTCATGAGCCTCCGGTTTCATTGTGCAATAGATGATCGTACTCCTACGCCTTGATAATTCCTGTCTTGCACAGCTATCCACAATTGTCTACAGTTCCTACACAGAGAGGGGTTGCGGGAAGGGTTCCATTGTAGGCGCCTCTGGGTTGTTGGGCCAGCCCAGTGCTTGGCCAAAAGGGAATTCTCGCCAACCTGCCCAGTCAAATGCACTGTTTCTGACTGATTTGATAGCTCGAGTGTGAGGAATGCTTTGATAGTCATACTTCAGAACTTAAATTTGATTTCAAGCTTAAATTAGATTTCAAGGTTGTCAAGACCTTTCGCGTGTCAATCTCTTGGAACCTACCGCCTATATATCTGAGCAGCAAACTTAAAGGGTACACTTGAAGGCCACAATGATCCTTGGCGGTTACTGAATGTCTGTATGTCTGTGTAGTATATGTATGACTTGATAGCCAGTAGTCCCGAATTGTATACAGAAGAGGTGTTCATCTTGTTCCAAAGGTGCAATGCCCCTGCCACACTAAGCTAGTTTCCATGTTTGTGGAGATGAAGGTTGGTTTAAAGGGCTTGGCAGCGTCTCGGAAAGAGATGGGTCATATATTTTTCTGAACAACTGACCTTTGCTATCCAGTTGGACTTGAGAGAAGGGGGTAGCAGCAACAACAACAACAACAACAGGACCACCAGTAGGCCACCAGCAGACCAGCAGTATCAGCAGGGCAGCAGGAAACCCGCAGCAGAAGATCAACGACAGAAGATCAGCAGTACCATCAGCAGCAAACCAGCAGCAGACCTGCAGCAAGAGCAGCAGCAAGAGCAGCAGCAAGAGCGGCTGCAGATTTGCAGCACCCAACCAGTATCAGCAAACCAGAAGCAGCAAACCGGAAGCAGCAAACAACTGCAATCCTGCAGCAGCAAACCATGGGATCCAGCAACAGCATAGGAAGCAACAAAAAAAGTCAGCCACAGGAGGAACATGGGCAGGAACACGCATGAAAAAGAGCATGGGGATGAGGACGAAGCTCTGGAAGAAAAGAGAACGAGGTGGGCCGGAGGATACTTCGTAAGAAAGAAGTGGGTGAAGGTGAGTTGGATGAAGTATAGAAGACATGAAGTGGACAAGCTCGATACGAATGCAATCACAAAACAGAAGAACCGCCACTTGCGGCCCCAAAATCAAGTCATTCGGAAGGATCCCCCTTCTAAGATAGATAAAGCTAATTGAATTCAGGTTGCCTGAGGCAACCTGTCGTATCCTTTCGTGATAAAAGCATCTCCCAGCGTCACCGGCCGACCCACCTTCTGGACCCTCAAGGTACACCTCAGCTGAGGCAGTTTCATAAAATTGGTCCTACATCAACATGGATTCAGAAAGAAACATCTGCACTTCTCAAGCTTTCTTTGGTTCCTGTGCCCAGCGAGCTTGCAAGCACAAAGTCCTTCCTCTCAGCCCTTTTGGCTGATTCTGCGCTTGGCAAAGAGATCTCCATTTTCCTTCGAAAGCAAGGCACTCATCTGCCAAAGATCTTTGGTTCTGAAGAAAGGTCCTGCTATGATTTGTTGAGACGCTTGCAGATGACAATGTATTCAGGGTAAACCTGATTGCTGGCTCCACGGAGTGAGTCATGCAGTCCCTGCAACATCGAGTTTCGCTTCATCACCTGAGCTTGTGGATTGCAAATATGTATATGTAATTATGTATATACTATACTGTATATGATTACAGTTCTTACAGGTCCCCTTTTCCTTTAGCTGCTTTTGGACAACCACTATCCTCAGTCGCCACTTCTCAGTGGCTTCTCTCGCTCTTTCAGAACACCGACTCCACCGGTTCCAACTCAGTTCGTCACAGTAGATCCCATTGCCGCAGACTCTGCAGAGCGCAGAGTCTGGCTGTGCCCCTTCCCGACTTCCCCGGTAACACCCGATGGAAGTCGACTCGGAAGTCTGAGCTGAAGATGTCATGGGCAGCTGATGACAGATCTCATGGCAACTCACACACTCTGCAGCGCGATTCATGGCCTGCAGTTTTACAAAAGTCATTGCAAAGGCCAGGCGCTTTCAAGTAGCAACGCTTTCTCTTCACATCTCTGGCGAATTCGCTCCCTTTGTCGCCAATCCAGAATCCAAAGGCGATGTTCATTTCGCACCGCCTGCACCACTTCAAAATCCTTCACAGCTTCATCACCTTCTGACGCTGTCCGGTCACTGGTGGTGATGGCCTTCCAAGTGCTATTCATCACCGATGGTATCGCTTCACCCAGTCTGTGTGCCATCAAGTCTGCCTCAATGTGCACAGGGCTTTGGCTTCAGCTCACTGTTTGCACAAAGGGCTTTGGTTCACTCAGTCTGTGTGCAGACATTGCATGCACTCTGTAGCCTCGTCCTCTATCCTCCAATATGCTGGCGTTTCTGTGGGCATCTTCATGTCTTCTTTCGATGCAGCAAGTATCATGTCATACTTTCCCTGCCAGGCCATCGTCCCGTTTTCCCGGAGCCACTTTCATCTCGGATTGTCCGAATCCCATTACAGCTACAAAAACGGCTCATGGCTATGTACTCCAGCTCAGCACACCATCTGCTTTTCAAAGTTGTTCATTGAGTCAAGTCTTGTAAAGTTGCTCTTCCTGCCCCCTGAATGTCCTCTATGTCCTCTCCTCCCTTCTATCCATCCGGGGGTCGTGCACGATCCACTGTCCAAAGGCTGGGTGAGTCATTGGCCTCAAAGCGACCCAAAGTTTTCCAAGGACCAAGCATAGAACTCATACAGTATGTGATATGATATACTCTACATATGATTGATTCTCATTGTATTGTATCAGTCGCATATTATGATAGTCTTATTGTACTCATACAATACATGTGTCATACTTTACCAATCTTTACCAGGAGCAAGGACGCTACTAGGGGCTCCTGGCCTTACTACTAGGAGCAAGGACGCTACTAGCATATTACTCATATGACCCGGATTGACCCACCCTGTCAACATCCTCGGAAAAGACTCAATCATGGTTCATATGGACGCAGCGGATTCTGAGCGCCTGAGGCTGAAACCAATCGGATCGTGTCCACTTGTCCAACATCCTGAGGAAGTTCACTCTGCACTCTGGACTATTGGAGGATTTGGCCCTGTTTCGTTTGTAGACCATGGGCTTGGGTGCACACGTTCGTTCAATTCAGGCACTTTTTACACTTCACAATGTTTATTGCTTGCTTCCCAGGACATTTGCAAGAGTTTGGGGAATTGTTGAGGTAGGAAAGAAATCAGGATTCCGAGGATGACTCAAAGGTACAAAGACCTAGACCCACGAACTGTAAAGCCCAACACCTGCTCCAAAGCATGCTTTGGGGGGAGTGCGCCTCTAGCCAGCACCAACGATCGGGAAAATTCCGTCCTTCGCAAAGATCGAGAATTCCACGCGAGAGGAGTCCTCAGACGAGGTCGAGTTCTCGCTCCACCAGGTGTTTTGAGCAAGAACCGTGGTGCCAAGATCTTGACCAGTTGACCACTCACAATGGCAAGATCTGAAAAGCTCCAGAGTAGCAATTCGATGTACTGTAATGGTGATTTGTCGCAGCAAGGCTGTCTGTCTTTCTTTTTCAGGGAAGTCCGGCAACAAGCTGCGAGCTTCACTGAGTCTTGATCCAACAAAGGCCTTGAGTTCCCAGCCACAAAGCCTTGCTTCAAGTGGATGAGATCCGTCTTCCCACGATTCCCCTGGCGTTCCAATTGCTTTTAGTGACATGTAAGCTGAAACCTGAGGAGCTACTACCGATGGAATGGGAGACCTATTTATGATTGTTTGAATCCCGAAATACGAAGCTGTGGGGTGCAATAAACGGCAACGGCTTTCAGTGCTGCTAGCCATGTCAAGGTGTGCACAAGAGCCCCAAGTGGCATTGATCCAAGATGATCGTTTGGTCGAGACCGCAATGAGTCCTTGAGTCACTAAGTCCTTGAGTCAACCACTCCTGCTTGCCGTAAATGGATTCATTCGTGCGAACTTGGATTGTCCCGACCCGCCTGCAATTGGATGTAGATGTCACCACTGGTGCCACTCCCTGGCCTGATCGGTCTGTCCCGTGCGACAACGCTTAGAGTGTTACTGGTAGCTTCCTTGCTCCTAGCAGCGATGCCCTTGTAGCTTCTTGTTCCCAGCAGTAAGGCCAGGAGCTACTAGTAGCTTCCTTGCTCCTAGCAGCGATGCCCTTTGTTCCTTGTTGCTTCTTGTTCCTAGTAGTAAGGCCAGGAACTACTAGTAGTTTCCCTTGTTCCTTGTAGCTTCTTCTTAGAGTGAGTGTGAGTGTGAATGTGAGTGTGAGTGTGTGTGAGAGTGAGCGTGAGCGAGAGTGAGTGAGAGTGAGTGAGTGTGAGTGTGAGAAAGAGTGAGAGTGTGAGTGTGAGTGAGAGTGTATGTGAGAGTGCAAGTCAGTGAGTGTGAGTGTGAGTCTCAGTGTGTGTGTCAGTGTGAGTCTGAGTGTGAGTCTGAGAGTGAGAGTGAGTGCGAGTGTGAATGTGAATGTAAGTGTGAGTGAGAGTGAGCGTGAATGAGAGTGTGTGTGAGTGAGAGTGAGTGAATGTGAGTGTGAGTGTGAGTGTGAGTGAGAGTGAGGGCGAGAGTGAGAGTGAGAGCGAGAGTGAGAGTGAGAGCGAGCGAGCAGTAAGTAGTGTGAGTTTGAGTGTGAGCGCGTGTGGGCGTGAGCACAAAGTGCTGTGCCTGCTACGAAATCTGCACTTCGAGGTTCACAAAGCGCTATGCCTGCCACGAAATCTGCACTTCGAGGTTCACAAGGCGCTGTACCTGCCACGAAATCTGCACTTCGAGGTTCACGAAGCGCTGTGCCTGCAAGCGCTGCGCCTTCACAAAGTGCTGCGCCTGCCACGAAATCTACACATCAAGGTTCACAATGCGCTACGCCTGGCACGAAATCTGCACTTCGAGGTTCACAATGCGCTACGCCTGCCACGAAATCTGCACTTCGAGGTTCACAAAGTGCTGCGCCTGCCACGAAATCTGCACGCTGAGGTTCACAAAGCGCTGCGCCTGCCACGAAATCTGCACGTCGAGGTTCACAAAGTGCTCCGCCTGCCACAAATTCTGCAATGTTCACTGCACCTGTCACGAAACCCAGATTCCTGATCGCGCTTTCTCTGTTCTGAGATCTCGACGTCGACGAGGCGTTCGGAGTAAGCCTGACGGCCGCAACTATTTCAGGAGCACACGACATGATCCCGTCCTTTAGCTCCGGCAGCTCGACCAGAAAATCAATGAAGTGGTCGTGCTCCTTCAAGTTCCATTGTATGCGCCCGACCTGGCAGAAACTAGCTCTCAACTAGCCTTTCAACTAGCCTCAACTATTGAACATGATCCCCATGCTCTCAACTAGCCTTCCACCATTCGCACTTTGGCGCGTTCCATCGCAGGTTGATGTGGTTGCAATCCTCAGTTGCCATCTGCGATTCTTTGAGCGTTTCGATGTTATGCTGTTTTACTATAGCCGGTTCACAGACGCAGCTGCCATCACCATTTGAGACCTCAATCTCCCCAACGCGCTGAGAAAGCCACGAACTACTTGTATTACCCAGCCTTGAAATCGCCGCGCGGGAAGTTGAACGCAGCACTAATGATGTAAGCTGCTGTGAGCAATTGAAATGCTTCAAGCATCACGTGGCAGTTTTTTCCAAAAGCTTTCACAGGTTCCTTACACAGCTGGGCCCTGGCTGGTTTCGTTTTCGAATAATTGCAAATGTTCTAGGCTCTACCCTAGAAGTCGTTTCTCGCTCTTGTCAGGCTCCGTTGCCCCCCTCCGAACCATCTTCTGCGAGGACCTGCCAAACTTGACGAGACGCGCTGAAGCTGCTCAATTTCTTTCAGCGAGATTTACGCATATATGTAATGTTCTATACCTATGAGAAGATCGCGCCTCATAGCCGCGAGCCACGAGGCAGTCCTGCTTTACAGTAGAGTACTGCAATCCTAGAGTGCTCTACGAATCCAATGTGGCCAGCCTCGCAGAAAAGGAACTCGCTCCAGTTAGCCTGCTCGGAGTCGATGATCCCAAGCGGCATGCCATCCGCGCCTCAATGCACGCTTTGACTTGGTGCTTGCTGGTTGATCTTCTCTATTCCCCTTCTCCTTCGGAATCTTTCGTCCGCGCTTTTCTCATTCTTTCTTTTGTCTCCTGCATTGTTGTTGTTTTTTTCATTTGTTTTCTATTGCTCTTACTTTGCAGCCAAGGCACCACAGCCACAGCACAGGAAGTGGGACACGCTGTTCTCGAGCAGGACTGCCATGACCTCGGATTTTTGGATTTCTGAATGGTGATTTATCTTTGTATCTTGAATCGTTGTGCGATCTCACTTTCTTTATGTTTTCGTTCCTGGCAGTGTCTTTTTGTCCTGGCTAGTTCTTGTCTTTCATGTTTTCCTTCCGATTTTGTCTTCCGCCTTGAAATTACCCAGCCTCGAAATCGCCGCGCGGGAAATTGAACGCAACACTAATGGTGTAAGCTGCTGTGAGCAATTGAAATGCTTCAAGCATCACGTGGCAATTTTTCCAAAAGCTTTGACAGTCGACCTTACAAGAGGTGGGGTGTACTGACTCGCTGTTATCATTGTGTGTGTGGTACATAGCTTCTATTGCAAGTGTCTCAACCTCTTTTTTGGATGCAAAGAGCCTCGATCAAGGCTCATGTGGCCAAGCGATCCCAGCTTCTCATCGAGGGACGCATCGGATCCTGAGGCGTCGTCTTGTGAAAGAATCGTTGCGGTATGAGTTCTCTATTTGTTGTTTTCTAGTTTAAGTCTATATATATGTATGTACATACGCGTGAGTTTTCAATTTTGTCTGCCTGGTGCCTGCCTGATGTCTTTAAATGCTGCTCAGGCGCTGGATTTCACACGTCTTGCCAAAGATTTCCTGGATGACACCCAGGAAAAGCATATCAGCACATCTTTGTCAGCTGTTCGTTTCTAATCCTTTCTTAAATGCAGTTGAGACGCCTTCACACGTGGTTGAGACGCTTGATCTCTCCAATCGCTCTGCTGAAGATCAGCATAGTTCGACCTTAGCTGTTCTCAACTTTTTCTGTTGTGTTTAGGTTGTTGCGCTTCTATGATTCCTTTTTTCCTGTCTGTGATTGGTTTCTTCGCTGGTTGTTTTTCTGTTGCTCTTTCTTTCTTCCTTTCTTTCGTGCGGACATCAGAAAATGTTGCTCAAGTCTGCCCAGTCACGAGTGGCCTAAACGCAGCCCAAGTCACTTTACTATGTACAGTGGCGTCTCGCCCTATGAGATTTAAGTTTTCGAGGTCCGTGCCCATGCCAGCCGAAGCTGCCCCGGGTTGCCAGCCCGGTGTTGCACTCACGTCATCCCTCAATAAGAATAGAGGTTGTAAAATTTAATCTTCAAAATAACGGGTTTACGGAGGGTAAGCCGTCAGATTTTCTACTGTCACTCGCGGCCGCAAAGTAGAAAGTTGAAAATTTACAGATTGATAGCAGCAGCCTTTACTTTTGCGTTCGTCGCATTTTTCTTCCCACCCGGAAGGTTTCCCTTGCGCCTGCCACGAAAAGTGACCACCACGTGCGAAAATGCGCACGGCACCACAACGAGAGCGCAGTCGCTAGATGCACCCGCCCGCCGCCGGCACCCAGATTTCGCGAGCCTGCGCAGTCGAAATGCATATCGACGATTTCGAGAGGAATGTACTGTAAATAGCAGCGAATTAGCCGGATACGCCCACGCGGCACAGCAATCTAAGCACAGCTGCTTAACCCCTACCGTAAGAACCCCTAAGATCCCCTAAGTGTGTCCACACTGTTTGGGGAAAAAATCGGGTCCCCGGGAATTGGTTGGGGACTGTGATTCCCCGAATTTCCCAGATCTTCTCATCAACCTTAAAAGAAAATCCACTGTGCCTGACATCTGTATCCACCAGCACCCTGTATTCCTTCTGGATCGGCCTGGCACTGAAACCATGCGTCCAAGCTCACACGCGCGGAAAAAAGGAAAGAGCACAAAGCGCTTCTGAAATGTGCACCTGAGTGCGATTTGTTGATTAGTATCCCTTCTGAGCTGTACAGTTGTCCTCTCATCCAACAATCACTGCCCCAATCACTGCCCGAATCCCGACAGCTACACCGCTTCATCTTCATGAAGTCCTGCGACCCGAGTCCAGCAGTGAACATCCCAGGAAGGTCAGTGAATAACACTCCAGAAATTGGTTCAGACATACAACATGACCTCTCAGGTTGCGCATGGTTGCGGGGCCTACATAAAGAAAAAGATTGAAGTCAGAAGCATCAATCCTCGATTCCAGCTTCCCCATGATCTGGTCTACCTTCCAGCTCATCTTTTCCTGTCCAAACAAGTGACGTGCCGTGACATACGAAACAGAAACATACTGTTCATGTACGAAACCAGCACTCTGTGCCACACCTCAGGAAACGCAAGGCAAGAAAGAAAAAAACAAGAACAACCCTCCCACTGCTGGGTCATGGTTGCACTTTCAAGTGTTGCCAACAAGTCAGATGTCAGATAGGAAGCTGAATTTCGGGTCGGAATTCTTAAACCGCACAAATCCTTGTCACAGGCATGTGACACCTCAGGACGACCAATAACAACCCAAGCCCTGCCTAGCAGCGTCTCCTCAAGCCTTAAAGATGGTGACAGAATGTGAAAAGCGGATCGACACGACGCCTCCGTTCCGCGGTGACAAATGAGCGCCCGGTAAGGAGATTAAGGAGGAAGACACACGGTCCTGACTGGGCGATGTCGTGTCATGATTATCTTGCCCGTGAGACATAGCATCCCTCTTCACTGAATGTCCAAGCCAGCCACTCTTCTGCTTCTTTGGCAGCAAGATTTGTCTCGTCATGATGTTGGTGATGTTTGTGCCCCTGCAGAAGAACAAAGCTTCCAATCGAGGAGTTCAGAGAAAAGCAAAACTTGCGCAAAACAGAATCTCACATCTTGCAATGCAAACTGAGCTACCCAACCTTCAACTTGGCCGGGCCTGCACAGGAAGGGCGAAGTTCAAACCAACTCCCTCCCCTCCCAAACAGATCAATACAAAAGGGGGAGAAAGGGAGCTGGTCTGGTGAGTTCCCTCATAGATGCAGTGATCATTCCCATGAATTTGAGAGCAAGCATCTCTGTTTATGTGATTCCCTCTTTCCTCCAACGCTTATCTGAATCTGAATATAAGATCAAGTCGAGGGAGACAATCGATGTGTGTACTCCTAGTACTCAAATGATAGTCATGAGTATCACTACCTGTGCGACTCCACTTACTCGTACTCTTGTTGCAACTGCTACTTGTATCGACCGCCCGTCCACCCGCATGCTCGGAGCCGTCCACCTGCTTTTGCCGAGGTAGCCTCGGTAACTGAGTCCAAAGAACCCCAACAACAAACCTCCGCAGCAATTAAATGATTAATGTCAACACCTTAACGATCAATCTTGCATACAGAGGCTCATGACATACGCGCAAGTACAATTTACTGTCTAACAACCGACCGTACAAAGGCCCTCACAGCTTTAGCTGGCTTTGTCTCCTAAATCCAGCCAAAGAGGCAGGCAGTTGCATGCAAACACGACCGTGTATGTATAAATATATAATGTGGACACACTCGGACACACCCATGATCTACCTAGAGCTGTTTCCTGTGGCCCTGCCAGCGCTTAATATATAGATACACACAATCTTCTCACAGTCACTGAGTTATGGCCCATAGCCAGGTGCTGTGTCATCATCTAGAATGGTTTCACACAGCTCAAAACAAATATCAGGCGTGCGTTTGGCACACTTTGACAAAAGGCCTTTCGGGATCTGAGGGGGATAGAGGCCACCAGGTCTTGCCTAACGTGGATCTGCTGAATTGATTGAAAGCAAAGGTGTTGCCTCTACACTCTCTCAATCGGGACTTGATCGAAGGAGATCGGAAAAGGAGACATCTTGACCCCGGTGCATATCTTGAGCCCTAAAAGTCCATGGTTGACCCTACCCGCCGCCATCCGCCGCCCGAGAAAATCGTCGCGTTCCATCTCCTGGAGTTGAGCCTCCTTGATCGCAGGCAGCGGACCGCAGGGCGATCATGGGCGTTCGCTCATTGGTACTTCTCGGACTGGTCGATTTGGGAGAAGTGTCGAGTCATGCAACAAGGTTCTACAGTTCTACCGCAAGGTACCGCATCTGAACCATTTTTGAGGACGCGGTGGCGTCAACCAGCATTTCCTTGCTTCGCCAATTAGCTCCCGGAACGCTCCTGGAAGGAATCTCGCAGGCGTTTGGTGCCCTGCGACCTTAGCAAATCGTTCGTGATGAATGCAGATTATGATGATGATGATGATGATGATGATGATGATGACTCGAGTCTAGAGTCTAGAGTCTAGAGGTATTGTTCCTGAAGAGGAATGAAGAGGGTCAAAAAATCCAAGGGTCTTGAGAAAGGGTTGGTTCTGCATTCCCAGCCGAGCTCCAACACAAAGGTATTTCAGCTTCTTATGACAGAAGGCGGCCCTGAGCGCTCACACGTATGCCACAGGCCTGCCTGGGACTTCAGGCGACAACGAAATGCCGTCCCAGGCCTATCATGTCTCATACATCGTCTGAAACAGCCTAAGAACTCCGAATACTCAGATGTACAGTATGTCAATGTCCTTATTAAGCTTGATCAACTCACCCTGAGTGCGCATCTCTTTTTCAACATCCGTTCCAACTGAATCGTTTTCAAAGGCATCTCAGACAATATTCACTCTCGCGAGCTCTGAGGTCTTCCCAGTCCAGGTCTTACTGCATCAAATATCTGTGAGGGCACAACGGCAAGGTTCTGTCATCTGTTTGTCTCATGCAATGAGTAGGAAACAGGAAACAAACTTTTTTGACTGACTTTTTATGCCATGTAAGCTCTGTTAACTTTCACTCGGTCATTGGTTATATATATATATATAGATAAACAATCCGTCCTTAGTCCTTTGTGTTTCACTGCAAGAATGAACGTATATCACTCACGAGAGATATGCACGCAAGTCCACTCAACTCCGCAGTCGCCGCCTCTTCTGCAAAATTACGCAGCAAGGAGCCGAACCCCATGGCGAAGCTCTACGGATCAAACCGTCAAAGCGTCTATACTATAAAGAGGCTCAAGCAACGTTTCTTTCAATAGAATCAAAGTTAAGCTGGCAACTGCACTGACATGTTCTGGATCCAGTTTGCTGACTCAATCGTTTGCCCACAAGAAAACACAAATCCAACAAGGGGTTATGGCGTCGGAAAAGGCTGTTTCCCTGCACATATTTTGGATCTTATGCTGATGGCCAAATGCAGCAATGGCGTTTGCCGGCATTTGATACATTATAATTCTTCCCAACCATTCTTAACTATGCTTTGCACGCGAGCACAGGCGCGGCACAGGTGCGGGCCAAACTCAAACACCAGGAGCACAGGTTTCATATTTGTTCTTGCTAGGGACATGTAACAAAGGCTAAGGAGGATCTCCAAGTCCAGGTTGCACCACATCAGATTGCTGGTTGCACCACTGATTTGTAACTCATGAGCACAAAAGGCAAAGGTTGCCCAATGCAGCGGACTAGTCTTGCCCACTCTGGCATCTGGAAGCTTTAGAGCTCGTTGACCACCATGCTTGCCACGTCCCCCCCTCCAACATGCACATCTTTTTGGGCTCGGCTGCTCAGGGAGGAAACACCTGGCAAACAAGTCTGCGCCCCAGCCAAACACCATTTCTTGCCAGTGCCTGACATGAAAATATTCAGCCCCCTTCAGCCGAAATCATGGGCCTGATGGCCAGGGGATGCTAGGATGTCTTCCCACAATGCAAACAAGAAATATTGATCCAGCCAAAAGAGGAGAAAGCCGTTGTTTTGCTTCGTCCCTGGCCCAAAGCTCCCTCTGCCAAACTGCCCTATTGAATGGTACAATAGGGCAAGCATGGGCAAGCTATGCAAAGCCCACGTATTGCTCCTGTGCTGGTGGAGCAATGCCCCTCAAGTGCTTCAAGTGCTGAGGGACGATGCTTCAACCACTTGAAATCGCAAACAGCGACATTGAGTCATTTGGAAAAGGATCGTGAGATTTCAGACAAGCTATTGACCACGACCCACTTGACACAGCAATTGAGATACAGTACATAGTTCTCACCTGTTCTCAGCAATTGCATGCCCCGACGCATACGCATCGTCTTCACCCCAACCTGGAGACCCCAATGACCCGATGCCAGCACAGCTCTCTTGACCACGGAGAGCAAGGTGTGCCACGTGTGCCTTCTCTTCATCTGCAGCCAGCTCTCGAGCATGACGACTGGGATCTATTAAGGCCACGCCCTGTGCTTCCACCTGGGAGTCATGGGAGTAGATGGAGTACCCAAGGGAAGTAGAGCTGGAGTCTAGGCGAGTCAGTGTTGGAATGGTTAGACGTTCTTCCAATGGTACTGCGGTCTTGTTAATGGTCGGTTGGGGTCGTCCAACACCGGGGCTGTTGCTAGAAGCATTCTCTGAAGAATTGTTGTTTGTTGTAGAGATACGAGTAGATAGTTCCCTGACCTTGTAGAAGGATCCATTGTTAAAAGGTGATGTTCGATTTCTATTAAAAAAAAAAAAGAAGTTCCATCCAGAAAAAAGACCCTGATTCCACGCACAGCACGCACATCACTTTGGAGTTCTATGACTGGGTTTGTCACCTGCCTCCTCCAAGATTTCCAATCCTCTGGCCTGCCAGCTCTGAACAGTCACTGTTGAGCTTCAGTCCATATGCCAAGTTCATGAAAGAATCGTCGCGTTTTGACGAGTCGCGTCGCGGTCTTTTTGCATCGCTATGCGTCCGTGCTAATCAATGTCGAGCTGAAAGAATTAGACATGTCGGCTTCGAAGGTGGTAAATCTCGATGTGCGCACCGAATCCATGCGTCCACCTGCGCCACCTCATCCAGTTGAAGTGCCAGCACGGACGTGGAAGCAAAGTGTGGCACGTGGACCAACGATGAAGCTCTGCGCCCTAGCTCACAAGTTCCAAGGCCCCACTCAGTAGCAGTCTGTGCAACAACTGCTTGTGGTCACTGGGCGCAGCACTTTGCGACAAGATGTCACCAAGTGTAAAAGGACGGCCTTGTAAAGAACCTTCGGCATAAAGCCCCAGGCACAAGATTGTGGTTGGTATCTCCGAATACTTCAGAAGAATCACCTCACTGTCCACGACCAATTTTGCTGAATCTGCCTCTGTTAGAAGCACTGCACGCAAACCAAGCCTTCGACGAATCAATGTGTCTGGAGGCAAAAGCGACGGAAAGGATGACAAGGTTTGCTTCTTGTTGAACACCTCCGGTTGGAGCCTTCTTGCGGCCGATAGTGAATGGAAAAGAGATTCATGGCCATGCTGCAGTTGCTCTTTGCCATGCCGTATAGCATGGTAGCGGGTAAGCTGCAACGCCCACTCAAGGAGTTCGTGGGATCTCTTCTGCAACTTCGTCATGATCTTCAAGAATGACACTTTGCGGCCGTTTATAGGAACCGATGTTGCCACCTTGCTATCTGAGGACAACACATTCAGAATGTTTCCTATCAAATCCTCCAGCTCTGCTTTCAGCTTCTCCAAATGACCCCCTGGCAAATCCTCATTGCACAAAGACACCAAAAATGTCTGCGAGGCTCCCGGCAGCCGGTGAAGCATTGGGATCTTTGGAGAGAGCTTATAGATCGAACGCACGGCAGGTATATCCATATCATCTGGTGCGAATGCATTGAGAAATCCTTCAATGGAGAGCTTGGGCTCGACCGCTTTGTGCATCATGGCAAAGATTACCGCCAACCACACATAGTACTGCCTCTCAATGTTCACGGTCAGGTGCATGGAGAAGTCCGACGATGTACTTGCTTGATGCAGTGTGCCATAAGGCACATACATCACATCACCTCCTTTCATCTGGATCTCTTCACAGGAGGCATTGAGCTTCTTGGGATCATTTTCATCTTCGCTCAACGACATCCAACTTGGCACATCGCAAAGCTTCCATAACTTGGAACCGGCAAGTTGCACCATAAACGCATCCATCACGTCAGAATGGAATCCATAACTCTGTGAGTATGGTGGGGTCAAATACATATAGACATCGATGGGCAAGTCACAAGCCTTGTGCAGTTCTTTTGCCAGTCGTGCTCCAGGCTCTGACCACTTGTTCAAGGAGTTGATCACCATTGAATGACCCTGCAAGAAGGCCTCTTGGATGTACTGTACGGGATTCAGTGAGGGCTTGGATGCTCGGAATCCTTGCTTCGAGACGGGGTGCCGCAAAGTCTCTATAACCTCAACTTCTCGCCCTTGGCTTTGCAACCACTCTGCCACGTGTCCCAAAGTTATAGGAACCAGTGAGTGGTTGTGGGGAAAGTGGGCCCATTGTTGCTCAAATGTTGCATCGAAGAAGGCATCCGGCGAGAGTGGGGATATCCAATCTTCCAGAATGTTTGCCCTCACTCGGAGCAACATGAGCATTGAAAGTATCCAAGACATGATTGCGCTAGGCGGACACCCCTTCATCTGCCTAGACTTCTGCCTTTGAGTTCTTTCAATTGGCAGGAACCGGTGTTCCAGAATCAGCCATCTCAAATGGCAACCCTCCGTTGCAAAAAATCTATGGGGGATCTCTTTGGATTTGGATTCCTCCCAGTCCCACAATTCTCCTCTAACTTTTATGATTGGGCCACCAATGTTTTCTCAAGAAGAGTAGAACAATTAACACATTCACTGATTCGCTGGCCATTTTCCTTACCAGACCAAGGCACAAAGACCTATCTATGCATTGCCTCTCATATTGTTCATGCGGCCTGTCCAGCAAACAAAAAAAACAAAACTGTGTTTGGCTGGCTTGGCCTCCAACATAGGTCTGGTGTTTTGTTTTGTGGGGAGGCCTGTTTTTGGTTTTCCATCGGCCTCAGGAAGCCAAATTTAATCGTTTTGCCAGCTTCAGAACAAGATTGAACTGCATGATTCCTATATGTGTATACATACTGAATATTGAAAAGCAAATGTTACCATGCAAGTGTTTATGATTAAAGGTTTTGTTCCGCCAGGAGATAAACAGCCATGGTATGAAAAGTGTTGCTTCCAAGGTTTTGTTGGATGCAAGATTGCAAGATGAGAAACAATTGGTGCGTGGAATGTGATCTAGCCAAAAGAAGGATTCTTGAACAAGTAGTGTCGTCAGTGCATGTTCTATTTGGACAAGTTGGATCAAATTAATTGGAAACAAAAAAATAGGAGTTGTACGACGCTGCAAACAAACACGCTCTCACTTCTTGGAGGGCACAAGCCAAGATCAGAAAATTAAGGTTATTGGGTACTGAGAGCCCAAGAATAAGAATAGAAAGGGGAAACAAAGAAACACCCATCAAGGATGGAAGTGCTGTTTAAAACACATTGAAGGGAGGAGTGCAGAGTGGGCATAAGAGGGGGAAGAAATCAGCACAGTACATTGCTTTTGGCCTGCAAAGAATTTACATGAAGGGAAAAAAGGTACCTTGTAAAGCAAAAGAATGAATTGCTGGACAAACCATCAAGGTCCAGTTAAAGTGCAGATGCATATTTGCCTTAACTTACTAGCTGGACGCTGACAGCGATTTCCTATGGGTGTCGCAAGTGTTGTGTCCTTTTCCTGTGCTTTTCCGAAAAAGGTTTGAAGACAAAAAGATCCGTAGTCGTTCTCATTCTCATTTAGCTCCTGAGTAGTTCAAGAAAAGATCAGCACATCAAGACTGAGAGTACAGTAACCATAGTAGCATTGCCAAAGCTGAGCAGGAGACCCAAAAAGGCCGCTGAAGCAATAGGAAAGCCAATTGAGAACAGAAAGGGCTCGGAAAGGACGCTGGCCACTAGAAATTGAAAAGCCACTGGACCAAGAGGAAGCCCTTTGAGAGCAGGACAAAGTTGTCAATGATTATATAACCATAAATGTAAAAGAAGGCAAAGCTAAATGGGAGCGGGCAAATTAACTTGACACTGGAAAAGCAGAATCAGAGGAAGAGAAGCTAAGTAACGGAACGAGCTAATCAGAAAGAGCAGAGCAAATAACTCAGAAGTGGAGCAAGCAGCAAGTAATTAAAGATTGACAAGACAAAAAAAAAAAACTACAAATATCCTGGATGCATTCAAGAAATAAGCAGTAAGGGGAGGAGCCAAGCAACACAAGAACCACTAGATTAATACAATCTAGAAGAGAAATGCAAGCTAACTATATGGTATACGTTATATAATGTTTAAGAGAATTGCATATGTCTGTTGTATGTCTTCAACTGTTTCTTTGCCCTCTACCTGTACCTCTGTCTCCGCAAGAAATCTGTGTAAACGTATCTGCGCATCAATCTTGAACAACAAAACCTGGATTTACCGGGCAAACTTTACATTGCAACGCATGCGAGAGTGAGACCCTGAAGATGGTATAGATAGTTTTGCAAGACAATCGGAGATCAAAGGGCATGAACAAGCGCACTCTCACAGTGGCCAGCCCTCAAGAAATTTATACCTTGCAAATCGTTTGTAATGCCCATTCAGACCCTCAACCCTCTGGCCAGCAAACCTGTCATCCCCTTCATCTTTTTTCTCACGGCTTCTCAGTCGTTTTCTCTGGCATCAGAGGGCTCGCTTCGTCGACGATCATGGCTTTCTCATACCAATCCCTTAGTGGCAGTCAATTGTTAACCACTTGCCACTCACTGCGGAAACTCTACTTTGAATTGCATTTACAATCTCATAATGTCGAAAATGTGCTAGACGATCAATCTTCAAACTTACCATCCAGGCCATCGTGCTACCCGCTTTATGTCGCTTGTGGGGCTTTGCAGGCCATTAACTAAGTTCATTCCAATAAGCCTGTTTCCACATGTCCAGGCCACTCCGATGCTTGCCATGCGATCAGATGTAGCATGCACACCACCAAGCACTCCAGCACCTCAGGAGAAGCATGTCGTCCCAGAGTCTGCAGCGCTTGGGAGCCCTTCAGACCACTTCAAACGAGTCTGGTGTCCCTCTCCACTCAGCTTCCTGCCATGAGCGTGGAGTAGAAAAGCTCGAAATGAGCCTGAGGCAGACGGTCTTTGCATGTTATTTTTGCAAAGTTCTGAAACCTCAAAAGTGGTTGAGATATGTTGAGACCTCTTGTGCTGCTGAGCAGGCGAAAAACTGAAAATCTCTGCAGGTGGTCATCCCATCACTGCTGAGAGCAGCCAAGGCGCATCATCCATTCCCCTCAGTTTCCATTGGTGATGAGTCGCTTCTGTTACAGCCCACAAAGACATCAAGGCATATTCCTTTTTCACCAAAAAAAAATGTATAACCAATCAGAAAGTGCGGCAAGAAACAAAAATACTTCCGAATGAGGTCAGCACCGAACCCCAACAAAACCATCTGGCACACACAACCAAAAAATATGAGAAAATCAGAATGAACTGGTGCTTGCTGTGTCAAAGGTAGGCAAATTGTGTGAATCTGCTTTGTCGCCAACAACCCGCTTCAAGGAAAGACAGTTGTTCTCAAGCTGCATGGGCTGCATGGGTCGAACCGTTCTTTTGGTATTGAACTCAAATATGCAATCTATTTTCAGGGGCCCGGGTCCCTCTTGTTTAAATTCTAGGAAATCACATGATCACAACGTTCACTCGCTGACATTGTCTCGTTCACACGTAGACACGCTTTAAAGTTGTCGCTCACGCGCAATAATGATTATA